GCCTCTGAATCTGGGTTTCAGTCTTGCTCACCTTGCGACACCCGTAAGTCCAACAACCAAAGTCCTCTTCAATCCGTTTAAGTAGCTTTCATTAGCTGCGCGGGGCCCGTCACAGATACGGGTGAGGCACCCTTTTTTTTCTTACCCGCTTTCTTTTTTTTATAAAAATTGATCTCGAATGAAGCCAGTCGGCTCTCACCAATCCCCTTTCGTATGGCCCGAGGAAAAAGATATTTTGACAGAGATTCGAAGCACGAAACTTCGCGCCACTACTTAAGTGCCCCACTGAACGTGCGCGGGTACGGCGTCACGGCGAAGGCTGCCTGCCGAGCAAGGTTATACAGTAGGTTGTGGCAGTAGACCTCTCGCGATCTGATTGGTCGCCGAATCGTGACGTCACCATTTGTCTTCCCGCCCGTAGTTCAAATTACGGCTCTTGAGCCCGTCTTAATATTATGTGTTAAAACAAGCACATGATAAAAATATCCACGGTATTTTGTCTCAGCACCCCTCAGCATCGATAAATGACGATACTTTTACTCAGATGCCGAGAAGGACGAAAGATGCGGACGGATTACAAACAGTCCTCACCTCACTCCCGTACGATCAGCTGAGCGGCCGAGCAGCGGCCATCTTGGATGTGAGGTTATGGGCGCTCGTAATCCATCCATCCATCCAATAAGTAGCTTTCATTAGCTGCGCGGGGCCCGTCACAGATACGGGTGAGGCACCCTTTTTTTTCTTCCCCGCTTGCTTTACTACTCCCTCTGACGTCACTGGTGCTGGTGTGGCGCGTCCCTGCCCCACACCACCACGCCGCGCCACGCCCGCCGCAGCCACTCCAGCCCTCAACCCAAAGACCGTGGTTGGCGTAGCTATGCTTCACTGCTCCCCTCTCCAACTGCTGCTGCTCGACATCCGCCCCTCGCCGCTAGAAGGAACGCAACGCTGGAGTCCTTACGGGCCAACGCCCTACGTGCTTGTTCTGGGCAGGTCAGAGCAGAGAGGGATTAGCGACCTTCGCGGACTTTAGGGAGCCCCGCGGGCCTCCCCCCAAGCGCGGCGGGAAGGAACCACTTTCCCCCACCACGCCCGCTTGCGACCACCTACCTCACCTCTGTTACAGCTTAGGGAAGGGTGCCCCGGCGGGAGGCAATACCTTTTGAACGGCTCCGTCCGTATCTGCATTTAGAGACTCGCGGAGACACGACAATTTTACGCGAGCCAGGTTCCTTCGTGAGACAGCGTACAACTTGGGGCATTTTCGGGTTTGTTCTCCCGCTCGCTGTGGTCCCCCCCTCGCTCGCCCCCCTTTGGTCCGGGAGCGGGACCCAGCTTTGCGTCGCGAGTCTACAACGAGTCGGCGAAACCCCCACCACTCTACCGACCCACGAGCCAGAGGGCGAGGCTCGTCGGACGTCGGACTTCGTGTCTCCTTTTTGACAGGATACAGACTGATGCGCAGCCCGCGGAGGACGCCGGTGCCGTAGAATCTCGAGAGGGGTGTCAACTAACCGAGCGAGGCGAGGCGATATGAGATGGGGAGGGGAGGGGGGGTGCCCTGGCGCTCCGTAGCGCGACCGGGCGCGACCTCCTAGAAGCGAGCGGAGCGGGCGTGGCGGTAGCGGCCCTCGGCTCGGGTTCGGGTAGGGGTAGGGGTAGCGCCCGCCCGCCCTGCGCCCTGCGTCGTTGCGCCGCCGGCCGGGCCGGGCCGCAACAATGCTCACACTTGCTCGACGCAGCTGACAGGTTGCGACTAGTTGTGACAGGTCGGGTCGGACGGGACAGGTCCTCCTCCCTCATTCCACCCCGACACCTCCAGCCGGACGCGTCGGACGGACGCCGCGCTGCGCAGCCCCGCTGATCCTGCCCGCCCCGCTCCCGACGCGCGCTCACCGCTCACCGGCCAGACGATGGAGTCCTGCCGCTGCGACGAGTCGGGGCCGCCCTGCGCGGCCTGCTTCACCGTCGAGGAGGTGCGCAAGGAGGCCGCGCTCCTCCGCGACGTCTACCTCCAGCGGGCCGAGGAGATCCAGCACCAGAAGGTGCTGCTGGCGGCCTCGTACCGGCGATGCCGTGACGCCTGTCGCGAGCTCGCCGTCGAGGAGGCCGCGATGAAGGAGTGCATGCAGTCGGAGGGCGCGGTCGGCCTCGCCGGCCTCCGCAAGCTGCAGCTCATCGCCAACTCACAACTGGAGGCGGCCAGGTCGGCGTTTCTCGTGCCGCCTGTCGCCCCTGCGCCTCCTGCGGCTCCTGCGCCGCCGCCGCCTCTACCACTACCACCGCCGCCGCCGCCGGTCGTCGCCGAGCAGGAGCCGCTCACCAAGAGGATTATGATCTGCTGCTGCTCCTCGGCGTCAGCAGAATGCACCAACCGGGCCGTGCGACTGGGAGCTGAGCGTGCTGAAGCGGAGAGTCACCCTCCTCAAGTACTAATGGTAAGTCACTCACGAGCGTGCATGGCGACGAGGTGAGTGCGTTTGAGTAAGCAGTGTGAGAGTGAGTGAAGTGAAGTGAAGTTACGGTGGACTGAGGGAGGGAGGGGGCGAGCGAGCGAGTGCACTGGAAACGCAAGTGTGTGAATGTCGCAAACTTGTAGGTGTGTGAATATCCATTCGTACACTTAGTGGGGTTTAAACGTGTGAATTTTCTAGGAAAAAATTCACACGTTTACCCCTCTGGAATTGATATTCACACACCTACAAGTGTGCGACATTCACACTTGCGTTTCCAGTGTGAAAAGACGGACGCCAGATTTCAAAACCAATAATCCGTGCGAGAATATTCTCACAGTGTACGGCAGCGGGGTAGCGTTTCGGCGCCAATCATCAATACGCAATAAGAAAGCCGTCCGGTCCGGTGACGCGACGGAGGAGGATCCCAGCCATAAAATCTGACCTGAGTTGGTCCGCTGGCCGGGAGGGTTGCATTCAGAGTGCAGTTCCAGCTGTTTCTATGAGGGTACCGTTAACAGACGACCCCGTTTTTTTTTGCTTTGCAATTTTATGTAGCTGCCAAAGGACACGGCCACTGGCACTGGCAGCTTCATCGGAAACCGACTGTAGACCAAGTGCGCTCGGCGCGCCGGCGCGCCGCGCCGAAAATGCCCCCCCCC